ATATTTTTTTTTAAGTAGAGAAAGGGAAGGAGATCAGGGTGATGAGGAAGGTGATGAAAAGGAAATGGGAGAGATCAGTGAAAATAGACTTGCTCCACATGTTTGGTGAGGACTAGCCCTAAGTATGGAAAAGAAAAGAAAGTGCTTCATTAATTAGCGGTTCCAGGAACCCTCTCTAAAACAGTTGGTAGTGCTGTTTTACTTCCCCTTCTTGCCACAGTGGTTATGAGCGAGGCTGCATTTTCCTTACACTGTCCAGCACAGTCCTTTTCTCGGACCATGTGTTGCTGCTGCTCTTCACGTTACAGTTCTCTCATTCGCTCAGCAGGGTGACATTTCTCAAGGGCTCCCTGCCAGCCGCTGGGAAGGAAAAACCACTCTGCCTTCTACAGCTTGTAGTCAGTGCCTGGCAGAGACCAGTACAAGTAGTGACAAAAGCACGTGCGCCGGGATGCCCAGGAGACGTGGGCTGCACTGGCGGGCGCACAAAGGGAAGAGGGGCTAACTGCCCATCCTCACGGCACCTTTCCCTCCCACAGGTACAACGCGTCCCTCCTGGAGGAGGGCAAGATGATGCACAGGCTGAGACACGAGCGGGTGGTGAAGCTGCTGGGCATCATCATGGAGGAGGGGAACTACTCCCTGGTGATGGAGTACATGGAGAAGGGCAACCTGATGCACGTGCTGAAGGCCGAGGTACGGCTCCCCCCACAGAGCGCATGGCGACTCCGTGCACTTGTCTGAGATGGTTGTGCTGCGTGTTCTTTTATAGATGTTGGTGAAAAATAATCCTTTCTCAAATTGTTAGATATTTTGGATTTTCTGGTCAATCCTTCATTAAATCCTCCATGACTCTCCCTGCCCAGAGGGGGGCCGGGCCCTTCTCTCCTCCCTACAGACAGTCTCCTGGGTCCCTGCTGTCAGCCACTCTGAGATCCACAATTCAGAGACAGACCCTGTCTGCATGAAGCACAGGGTCTGATGAGGGGTATATGCACAATGGATATCAATCACATATTAATTGATTGATTAAAGAGTGTATTCTATAAAGGCCCGTATGAGAAGGAGTATTAATGATTGCACACTGATACCATTTAAGAAACTTACAGCTTAAATGTACAGCATTAGAGGCAACAACACTGGAGAAGTAAGACTTAAAACAGGAAAATAACAAGTTTACCAAAACCAAATAAGTCTAAAGCACTTCTAAAAGTTTATGTATCTGTTAAGAGGAAGGCCTTGTGCTAATTGCTCAGGAAGCAGTAGCAAATAAGACATAGACAAGTAAAGGGGGCAAATAGTGTGTGATGTTTTGATAGACCACTTCATTGTGTGCTATGGGAACACGGAGGAGAGAAACACACTCTAGCATGGGGCAGGTAGGAAAGGATTCCAGAAGGAGGATGCTTGAGCCAAAATCTGAAGGAAAAGTAGAGGGTTTGAAGCAGAGAATTAGGGGTAAGTGTTGCAGGCAGAGAGAATGGCATGTGCCAAGGAACAAGAGTATGCCAAATTTGGGAAACTGCAAATAACTGGGTTTGGTAAAGCATAGATTGCCTGTGGGGGTGGTGGGATATGATTGTCTCTATGGCAAATATCTTCCACTTTTCCATTTTCTCCCCTGGCCTCACAGCTGCTGAAGCTATGCCAATTCTTCTAAGTCACAGACATCTCTCACGAATACCATGGGAAAGATACAAGATACAACATAATCACTTGTACACATTGTATTATCATTTGATCAGATTGCTCTTCTCTTTAAAACTAGTTAAGATCAGGTGCATGAAGGAAGCAGGCAAAGATAAGGTGCACTAATAGGCTCAATAAGAAAATCAGGAGGACGGAGGGAAACAGGAAGAAGGATGTGAAGGGGATCTACAGTGCTTGCTCAGAATTTTTTCCTAACTGCAAAGGTACACCGTGGAAGAAGGGAGGATCTCTGGCCATTTTGGTATGGTGGTGATGAGGCTATAAATACTGCAGTTCAGCTGCGGTATGATGCAGATATGATTTGGGGGCTTCACTTTGGAGTCTAACTTCCAGCATTTGAATGTGCTAACAGGCACATACATTTTTAGGAAGCAGCCTATTTGTAAACTAGGGACTGTGCACTCGCACACAGAGTTTGTTTCACGGTGTTAAGCAAATCTAATGTTTAACTACTATAAGTAAAAACTGGAATTCTCTATATTAACATAGATGTTCATGTAACTAGAATATAATTATAAGAATGACCTGAGAGTCTACAAAACCTGAAGTGCCTGATAAAGTCATAAAATAGATATTACATTCATTTCAGCATTAAGGACCTTATATTATCTCATTGATTAATCTTTCCATGTTTCTAATCAGCGTGAGCCCATTCCCTTGTATTTTTTCTTTTAACATTATTTCATGCACACATTTCCATGACATTTTTCATATATTTAATACATAGTAGAACATCATATTAGTATACCATAGAGAATGTTTGTTTTTTTGTCTATTTACCCATTCATTCACCAAACATTCCAGGATGCTAGGTAGTAAGCATGCATCCTAAACAATAATAATCTACACTAATAAAAGAGAAACATGGTAATTAGCATACGACCGCTACCCTTTTCATTGGCTAATCAGTGAGTATATGCAAATTAACTGTCAGCCAAGATGGC